TATTATTATTATTATTATTATTATTATTGTTATTATTATTATTATTATTATTACTGTGTAACCGCAAACATGAAAGAAATCAAAACCTAAGGTGAACCCAAACCCAGTCATTTCCGCAAGGGCAGCTTTGGGGAACAGGTCTAGTACAAACGCACCTATTACCAAACAACAACTCTTCAGATGCATCACGCTTTTTTGACATTTCTCCGCCGACACTGCACGACTACGACGTGAAACTTTCCACTGTGACGTATTATAGAGGACGTGAAAACACTCGACGACAAAATTTTCTTCCTATTTTTTAACTTTGGTATGCTCCTTAAAAATTCAACTCCAGGAAAACCCGCCTTCATTTAACCAATTGAGCCTGTTGGAATAACCACTATTAATCTTCAAAGAATGCGCATGCACTTTGTGGGTGTTTCTTAGTGTTGCGGAAACCATTGTGGGTTCGCTTTTGTGTTGTGGTGCCTGTATTGTTCAGTGCTTTTTCAATCTTTTGTATGACGTCATTTTGTGATTGCACACGTCCGCAACACCAAGAAACCACCCACTTTGAAAGGGGCGTCCCCATCTCCGTCGCCGTCCTGGTTGCTTAAAGTCTCTAGCGGTGTTTCCGTTCTCCCTGCTGCCATGTCGTCTGCATCGGTATAGATAAAGTACTAACCTGATCGTTCAATCCAACAGTAATAAGAGAAAATTTTCCGACCATTTCCACCCACTTTGATCCAGTTACCGCATTTTCTTGGCCATTTGCTCTTGACAGACCTTTCCTAAACCAAACCTGCACAGAAATCAAAGACAGAGCTGCAATAATAGACAGACATCGGACAATGTCTGACGGAAACTCTACCCACGTACAATGAAATCCTATCTGTGGTCGGACGTGATGATCGGACGAATCAAATATCAAGCAATCACTTTGTAGCCAACGATTTAACAAGAGTTATAACAACTGATACCAAAGTAGTATAGAAAGGTTGTTTTGCTCCTTTTTGAAGTTTGAAGTGGAATACATTAACACCTATGAAGTCATTGATTTTTTAATGTATTCCACTTCAAATTAACGAGATTTCACTTCAAAAAAGGAGTAAAACATCCCTACTATACTACCTACGAAATAGCTACAAAAAGAAGACAACGGAATTAATTTCATAATAGTACGTACAACAGTCGAACCTCCACTAACGGCCACCTTTCCACACCGACCATCTCTTTGTGACAGCCTTTTTTTTGGCGGGCAGTCTATACATTGACTCTTGTTTAAACCTCTCTCAACGGAGACCTCTCTACAAGGGCCACGTTCTTCTGTCCCCAAGGTAGCCGTTCTGGAGAGGTTCAACTGTACCTATTTCACCGGTGAGTAAAAATTACTCTTTCCATTTTATTTGCATAGAATTGCACGTCAATATAATGATGCCCATCAACTTTTCTGGTTTGTTCGGCTACAGTTGTTACATACTCGGACATATGTCCTTATCATTTAAGGGCCTGGAAGCAAACGTAAAACGTCCTCGAATCTGCTTCAGATGTTCTAAAGAAAGCAAGAGAGTGCCATTTAAACTGACTGACGCGAAAAAAGTGTTAAGACGAAAATCTACTGTTCTATTAACTAAGGGCCTGTTAATATGAGTTGAGCTAGCCCGGCTGGCCCACTTTATCCGCGCTGGCTTCGTCCCTTGTCTCATAAAATTGTCA